TAGTGGCATAGCTTCCTCTTGGTGATGAGGACGGCATGCAGGAGCTTCTGGATTTGGGGGTAGCGGGTCCTAGAATCAGACATGACCTCGCTAATGAAGTACACGGGGCGCTGTACTTTGAGGGCATGTCCCTCTTCTCGATCCACCACCAGGGCAGCGCTGACCACTTGCGTGGTGGCCACAATGTAGAGCAAAAGCGGTTCTTTGTCAGTTGGAGGAACTAGGATCGGGGCCTCCATCAGGAGCTGTTTGACCCTGTCAAGCGCCTCCTGGGCCTCGGGCGTCCATTCGAAATGGTTAGCCTTCTTCAGAATCTGATAGAGGGGGAGACCTCATTCGCCGAGGTGCAAGATGAAGCGGCAGAGCGTGGTGAGGCACCCTGTAACTCGTTGTACCTCCTTCATGTTCTAAATCAGGCCTATCCTTGTGATGGCTGAGATCTTCTTTGGTTGGCTTTGATGCCACGCTCGGAGACGATGAAACCAAGCAGCATACCCTTCGGGACCTCAAAAATGCACTTCTTGGGGTTGAGCTTAATGCCATTTCCTTGGAGTTTTGCGAAGGTCTACTCAAGGTCGGCTACGAGCTGGTCAACCCATTTGGACTTGACCACGATGTCATCCACGTAGGCCTCAATGGTTCGCTCGATGAGGCCTCCGAAACACTTGAGCATACAACGCTGGTACGTAGCCCCTGAGTACGCATTGTGACGTAGCAGAATGATCTAAATAGGGTGATGAAAGATGTCGTGAGCTGGTCAGACTCTTTCATCGTGATTTGATGGTACCCAGAGTACACATCAAGGAAGCAAAGGGTTTCGCATTCTGAGGTAGAGTCAACTACTTGATCTATGCATGGCAAAGGAAACAGATCCTTTGGACATGCTTTGTTGAGACCCGTGTAGTCAACACACATTCTCCATTTCCTGTTTTTCTTTCGTATAAGGACGCGATTGGCTAACCACTCTGGGTGGTATACTTCCCTGATGAACCCTACCGCCAACAGCTTCGCGATCTCCTCGCCGATGGCCCTATGTTGCCCCTCGTTGAAGCGACGCAAGCACTGCTTCACCGGCTTGGAGCCCGGTCTGATCTTCAAGGCATGATCTGTGACTTCTCTTGAAATGCCCAGCATGTCCAAGGGTTTATATGCAAAGATGTCTCTGTTGGCGTGGAGGAAGCTGACGAGCGTGCTTTCCTATTCAGAGGAAAGCGTGGTGCCAATGCGCACCACTTCGCCCTTGGAGCCGCTAGGGTCCATTTGCTCGAAAGACCTGGCTGATCGCTTGGGGTTGGGTGCTTCTTCGGCAACCTCCTTCCCGATGGCCGCAAGCTCCTTGGAGGTGATGATTGCTGTGGCATGATCGCAACACTCGACCTTGCATTCGTAGATGTGCTAGAAGGATGTGCCAATGGTGATGACCCCACATGGTCCCGACATCTTCAGATTTAGATATGTGTAGTTAGGGATGGCCATGAATTTCGCGTAGCATGGACGTCCTAGGATGGCGTGGTAGGTTCCATGGAATCTGACCACCTCGAAGGTGAGGGTCTCTGTCCTATAATTGGATGGATCCCCAAAGGTGATGGGCAGATCGATCTGTCTAAGTGGCACGGCCTGCTTTCCAGGCACCATGCCGTGGAAAGGCGCTCTGGTCGGTTGAACGCGTGATCGGTCGATGCCCATGGCGTCAAGCATTTCAGCATACATGATGTTGAGGCCGCTGCCTCCATCCATCAGTACCTTGGTGAGCTGCTTCGTGCTGATGATCGGGTCGACCACAAGCAGATATATCCCTGGTTGTGGGATGCTCTCCCGGTGGTCAGTCCGATCAAATGTTATGGCAGACTCCGACCACCAGAGGAAGACAGGCGCAGCCGGTTCGACCGTATAGACCTCGTGGCGTGCGAGCTTCTGGCGGTGCTTGGAGTCATAGGCCGCTGACCCTACAAAGATCATGAGGCAGCCATCCAGCATTGGAAAGCCATTGTCCCTCCACTCGGTGTCGTCTGCGGTCGGCTCAAGGTCCTTCCCATGCCCTCCCTTGTTGAAGCCTCCAGACAGGAACCGCTTCATGAGGCCGCAGTCCTTGTATAGATGCTTGATGGGGAAGGAATGGTTCGGGCATGGCCCTTTAGCAGCTTCTCGAAGTGGTCCGGGGTACCCTCCATGGGCTTCTGGCCCCCTTTGCGATCGGCAGTGGCCACGAGGGAGCCCTCGCGCCGCTGTTTGTTCTTCTTCTTGATGGGACGGTTGGAGGCGCCTTTGCTGGCATCCTCATCCCGCTTCGCCTTACGTTTGACGTAGCCAAAGATCGCTCCGACTGCCTCCTCGCCTGAGGCGTGGCTAGTGGCGATGTCAAAGAGCTTCTTGGTGGTTCATGGGCTCTTACATCCCAGCTTGTGAACCAGGGACTCACAGTGGCGACGTTAGGCAGTCCGTTGCACTGTCGGGAGAAGCGCCGGATGTACCCACAGAAGGTTTCTCTAGCCTTCTATTGGTAGTTTTTGAGATCCTATGGGTTCCTAGGACGCTTGTACATGCCCTGGAAGTTCCCCACAAAGATCTCTTTCAGGTCCGCCTAACTTTGAATTCCATTGGGCGGAAGGTGTTCCAACCATGTTCGTGCAAAAATCAGCCAGAAATAATGGAAGGTTGTGGATAATGAAGTCGTCATTATCCGCTCCACCGGCTTGGCACGCAAGTCGATAATCCTTGAGCCATAGTCCGGGGTTCATTTCCCCAGAGTATTTCAGGATGTTGGTTGGTAGTCGGTACCGTGGCGGGAAGGCGGCGTTGAGGATGTGTCGGCCGAAGGCCTGAGCTCCCGGCAGGCTGGGCTTGGGCTTCGGTCCTCGCCGCTGTCGTAGCGTCTGCCACGACGAGGGTGCTAGCCGCGGCGAGCTCCCTCCCTCGCATCGCCACGGGTATGCCTGCGGGCGTCGAGGGTGTCGCACGAGTCACGATTGCGGCTGAGACGCTCATGCACCGTGATCACGGTGCACAGCCTATAGCCTTGCGATGCCTGGTGGACTAATGCGTCCTTATCGGGGCGCTCCAAGGGCGCACGCTGGCTGGTATCGAGCTCGTGTCGTTGAGACAACGAGCTTTTGGCTTGCTACGCTGCTGCACGCTCGAGTAGCGTGTGAATCTCAAGATGGGCCCGATGATCCTCAGGCGTTACGGGCCTCGGAAGCCCCTGGAGCAAGGCCACCATAGCGACGATGTTCTGGCTCTCCCGGGGGAAGTGCGGGAGTGCTTCATTGTCATCAATGATCCTCCGGTTCACGTCGCAGGACATGGCGCGTGCACGCCCACCGTCTCCATGGCGCTCGATCTCTCGATCGAGCTCCGCGCGTTCCTGCTCAAGCTAGAGTCATGCTTCCTCAAGCTCTTGGTGTCGGGCCTTCAGCTGCTCCACCCACAGGTGAGGCGGGACCCCTGCATCCCCCCCGACCTCATCGTTAAGGTCGTTCATTGGGTTAGCTTCTTCCTCATGGATGCTTTCGACGTGTCCCTCGGAGGTACCCGCCATAAAGCACTCATGAGAGGGGTGATGGCTCCCCCTGCAGGAGTCAAAGCTGGAGGGTGACTCCGATTCTCCTGAGAGGAGGTCATGGAAAGACTTAGCGACATATTCGGTCATCCCCACGAACCTATCGTTCATGGGGGGCGGAGGCGTGCGTTGTGCCACAAGGTGGCCATCGGTCTCTGCGGCATTGCGGAGACCGAACGGGAGTGCTACCAGGGCACTCCGGATGAGGTATTCCGGAGAGAGCGGCTCCTCTCCGGCAAACTACGCCATGACATTGGCGAACGAGAAGGTGAGGTGGCGTAGGTCCTCTCGGGATGGTCGGGGTCCCAAGAAGGCGCCGAGCTAGCGCTCTAACGTCCTATAGTCGAAGTCGAGGAGCTGGTCGCTTCTGGGGGCACGGGCCTCTGGTGCGTGCAGTCGCAGCTCCTCAAGCACCTCGGCGATCGCGTTGAGGCCGGTGGAGTGGAGAGGTCGGATGGCGGCTGGAGCCATCGCCAACTCTCCCTCCGTCGTGACGATGAAGTCTAGGTCCCCGAAGCGCACATGCGCGCCCGAGACCCAGCTGAGGTTGTGACTAGCCATCCGAGGCCTAGTGTGGATGTCGAGATGCATAAAAGGCTCCTACCTGGCGCGCCAACTGTCGGTGTTTCGAGTTGCCACCGACTAGTAAATTTTAATATTATTACGTCTGGCTCGGATGGTGTGCTAAGAGGAGACGAGGTTTATACTGGTTCGGGCAGAATATCCCTATGTCATGTTCATTGCTGTTACTCGTGTTACTAGCACTGAAAGTTCATAGTAGGGGTTACAAACGATTGAGAGAGGGACAGTTCCCAAGTCTCTGGTGAGAGGAGCAAACAGGTGCCGAGAGCTCTGTCGCTTCCACTACAAAAAAAGTTCACTTCTGAGACGATTCATTTTTGTCATAGTACATGCAAATAACATCATCAAAACATATCTGTGATGGACTTATGACAAAATTCTGATCGTCATCTTTGTAGCGTCACATTTGTTGCACGGTGGCGCTTTAGTGTTTTTCGTCATAGATAGAGTTACATCCATGACGCTTTCCCCTCCGTCACTGATCTATTTCAGCAGGTGTTCTAGTGGACACGTGTATGATGGAGATGTGTACACGTGTATGATGAGGGTGTCGACACGTGTTTGACGAGGAGGTTGACACATGTACTGTTTGCAGGTTGACACATGGCGCTCTTGTGCTCGTTTACGTGGCAGCATGTAAGATGACATGGCAAGACATTGGAGATGACGTGGCAGCAAGTTAGAGATGATGTGGCGACTGTTACTTAGTGAACTTTGTTTTTGTCATAGTACAGATTCGATGAATTCGATATAATTCACAGGCAGTACCATTATTGTCAGGCCTGAGCACTTATCCCATACACATGCAACACAAGTTTATTCATCAAGCACCAACATAGTTTCATACAACACAAATTTATGTTCAAATACAACCAGAGTTCCCTAACACGGGAAACAAGTTCACACACATCCAACAGACCAAGTTCCAAAGCAAAGGTACCAAACCATAGACAAGTTCATAGGCAACATAACTGATAGACCAAGTTTAGTAACTTATTATGAGGACCAACAGCACCACCACTCCACTGCTCAGCAGCACTCCATGGCACTCCAAGGAACCTAAGCTGCACAGGAGCAAGCTAAGTAGCTCGATTACCTGAGTTGAGGTTCAAGATGCGTTGAAGTAACAGATCATTAGCTTCTTGTTTCTTCTTGAACTCCTCCATCTCTTGCTGGGCCTTGCGCACTTCTTCTTGGGTCTTGGCCATTGATTCTTCTATTTCTTCAGCTTTCTTCTTTAGGCAGTCCAATTCTTCTTGAAGTAGATCAGCCCATTGCTTTTCGGCCTACACCTGTTCTCTTAGTTGTGCTTCTCTTGCGGTGATCTTGTGATTTGCTTACTGGTGTTTCAATACCAGCATTATTGAGGAATGTAGAGGCTGCACTGGTTTGTGAGAGAACCTTGGAGACAATCTCAGTACTAGATCTTGGTATTTCTAAATCTTGAGCAGGTTGGGCCAACATATTTTCCATGGCAGCCTACAGCAAACAGGTGGAAAAAGGATATGATAACTATGGAGTCCATTTCTCAAGCATACATGAAAATCATCACAAACATATTGATGTATATATGTTTAAGTACATGAACACAGTTAACAATAACTTCACATGGCACATCAGAGTTGAATATCCTATCCATTTCACAACAACAATAGGACCATGCACAGAAAACATATGACTTCACATATAAGTGTATACATATGAACATTTAGTCTATGTACTAATCCATCCAGCAATTATATAGGAACAACTTTTCTTGATTTGCACATAGGTAAAATTTTCCATTTCATAAGCATAGATAGACCATGCACAAAGAACATATGATTCCTAAACCAAGTAGGAAATTCCTTTTCTAACCTATTCTCAACATCATGGCCACCTTCTTCCTCTAACTATTGTCTAAACTTGTTGCACACAGTTTGCAATATGTATTGGTCACCCATGTTTAGCATTGTTGTTTACTAGCACACACAATTTAGGAAAGAGAACCTAGACTAAACAGAACCTGGGCAAAGAGCATGTTTTGCATCTTCAAATACTTTCGCAAACCTAGGTTGTTCTCCATCTTCTTACTGTACAACACTTTGGAGCATTGTACAAGCTTTAGCTATCATCTCGACCTAACTCGTGATCATCCTCATTTGTAGGGCTCATCCACATGCAAGTATCACATCAACAAGATCATCGGTGAGTTCATTTGCATCCTCTGCATGTTCCACAATCTCATAGAAGCATCAAAAGCTTCTCCATGGTGTACCCACCTAGTGTATGTAGCCTTGACCATCCATAGAGATACACATGGTTATACACTTCCTTCTTACTCCATGAAGATGATCGGACCTTGTTGACAATTGCGACATGGGCAAGGTATAGCATCATCCGCATTGTATCTACCTCGAACATAAGCCATAAATGCGATCAATGCCATCATTGAATTGATCTTTGCTTTTTGATTCAGAACTTTCTTTTTCAATGCGAAGAAGAAGCCAAAGACACGAATCCATGTTCTCCATGACTTGCAAACGTCCATCTAATAAAAATGTAACAATTACCTCTAATTAGCCATGTCTAAAAACCCTAGACCCTACCTAGTCCGAATCCTTGAATTGCAAGCTTTGGGAGAGGACAATACCTCGTGGTACACTTGAGAGCGAGAAGCGGCGATGGTGGCGTGGATCTGAAGGCGGCGATGGCGGCATGGAGCATGCGGTATCTTTGGAGTGGAGCGGTGGCGGAGTGGATCTAGGGCGGCGATGGCGAGCAGTGGAGTTGTATGGATGCCGAGAGTTACTAGTCCTGTTGTAGTGAATGAGGAGGTGATGGTTGAGGAAGCCACGGTGGCGAAAACTAAGATGAGGAGGCGGGAGGTGGATTCGCTTTTTTTGTTTTCTTCTCAAAACAAAATGGTTCTTTTCTCTAGCTTTTATGGACTAAAATGATATTTGTTTCTATAAATTTGACATCATATTTCCATTGTTTGTGATGATGGAATCCACAATGGTAAGCGCTTGTCACCTTCTTTGATACATCACAAGTATGAATTATATAATCATCAAAGATGATAAGCGTGTGAAGGATGAAAACAAGCTTTGATTAACCGTGTGCTCTTAAATTATAGGGAGATATACATGTGGCCTTACTTTGTGTGCATTATACATATAGGGAGATATACACGCTTATGTGCATTATACATATATAATCCATAATGTGTGCATGAATGCACTTCATAAGATCCTAGCAACACACATACATACAAGAACTTAGTATGTAAAGCCCGCCGACACATCCCATAGCGATGATGACTTCTCCTATGAGCAGCAACAGTTATAGGCGCACTACATTAGATGTAGAGTAGTCCATGACTTGTACAAGCTTGTCCACCATGAGTGGCTCGCCGTAGATGGGCGCGCAGAGGGCCGCCACCAAGAGCACCTCCACCCGCCCCCGCTCAGATGACGCCGGAGCTGCTAGACCGGTAGATCTGCCCGCCGGAGCTGCCCATCGGAGAGGCTCGCCGTAGATGGTCGCGCAGAGGTCCGCCGCCGGAGCACCTCCTCCCACCCCATTGATTCGATTTGTATCCACCGCACCCGCTCCCGCAACATGATTGGATTGGGTTTGGGTCATATGAAAGATCGATAGTCGATAATAAAATAAGTTCCCACACTTTACCATGAGCGAAATTGTGCTCGATGGTAAGGTAACTAGACTCTGAGTCGGTGAGTACAGGTTAAGATGGGGTTCGATACGACCCAAATTGGTTGCGCAAGGATGGTGGATGCACTTTTGGGAGTTTTCAAATTTGTCTTGTTGATTTTTATGACGAAAATAAAACTGAGTTATTTGCGGCAAGATTGCCCAAGCTGGTGACGGGTGGGACCACTTGCGAGGATCGGAAGCCAAAATATCGAAGGCTAGTTTTTAAAACTCCACATTTATAAAGTTGGCGAAAATGTATATCTAACATGTGGGACCACAACGGTGAAACTATTGACTATCACTTCTATGATGTGAATTTCAGAACCCTTCTATGACGGTAATTCCAAATTTGTCACAGAGGAACAAATGGGGTTGACGGCCAAACCAAGCATCCATGATGTTCTACATAATTTCGTCATTAATGAACCATATTCATGGTGGAAATTAAGAAGTGCTTGATAGCATTGAAATTGAATTTGTCATTCAAATGTTCACTAAAAAACGATCTGTCATTTTCACTAAAATATGAAAGGATTTCTAGTAGTGTTCCCGGTAGTATGCTTATATGTTCTGATCGGTTTGGGGTTTAATGGGTTCCAGTCCGACTCGATGCGATGTGTTGCAATGCCCCTTGTGGGACAACACGCCAATTTTCTGCTTTTTTCCTTTTTATAGGCGGGGAAAGCACGACTTGTGTTATAGTGGAGGAAAAAGGAGAATGAGAAGGAGAAGAAGTCCTCCGTGGATCGTCGGGTCCTTCTATTTTTTTCCTTCATGGTTAAACAATGTTGTATCGAACACCATTGACCTTTGCATGATGCCCATAACTTCACTGAACATGATATTGCATATAGGCCTTCACTAAGATCTTCATGATTACATCAACATGATCTAATAAGACCACCAAACAAGTTAAAATTTGGAAAAAAAAACTTGTTGCACACAAAATAAATAGCTTACACTAAACCAAGTAGGCCCTATCTCAACATCATGGCCACCTTCTTCCTCTAACTATTGTCTAAACTTGTTGGCGCCATATTAGTCGCATGTTTAGCATCGTTGTCTCTGGTCGTAGGGCGCCCACTCCGTCTGGGCAAAGAGCATGGACATCGTAGGTGTTCTCCATCTTCTTGTACGACTCATTACAAGTCGCTGCTAGCATCTACGACGTCCGTGATCATCCTCGTCAGGCTCATCCTCATGACGAGGTTAGTTCCACAATCTAAGCATCAAAAGCTTCTCCATGGTGTACCCACCTAGTGTATGTAGTGACCATCCATACACATGGTCATACACTTCCTTCTTACTCCATGAAGACCTGATTCAGACACAATTGCGACATGGGCAAGGTATAGCATCATCCGCATTGTATCTCCTCGATGTGAATGATCAAGTATGGCCCGTCCATCCATGTTACTGTCCATCTAATAAAATGTTATTATCTAATTAGGCATGCGGTCACCTCTTGAATTGCAAGTCGAGCTTTGACCTAGGCCCATTCCCTTGGACCTAGAGTGGTTGGCGACAGTATCGGTCTCCGTCGGGTAAGGCGGACCCGCCCCTAGAGGCCGGGCGCAAGGCGGTAGAGAGCCAGAGCTGTCCCCTCGGAAGGTCGGAAGAGGCGAGCTGCTAGGCCCATGAGGCCTCGGTGTCGAGAGGCGTGAGCCCCCCTCGGAGGTTGGGCATATGAAAGGCGATGAGCCAACCCACCCGAGGCTCGATGGTAAGGGGTGAGGTGAGGCGCACATTTTTTCAAATTTGAAATCCAAGGGTCGAAAATATCGGTTTTTGAACTCCGCATTTAGAGGTGGGCAAGGAAACTATTGACTATCACTTCGGAGCCCGCCTCCAAATTTGAGGTCAAATGGGGTGAGCCAGGCGGATCCCTACAGCCTCGGTCATTAATGAACCATAGGTGGTGAAATTGAATTTGTCATTCGAGAGGTCGATGAGGATTTCTAGTAGTGCGAGCGTAAACCGGTTTGGGGTTTAAGGGTTCGATCCGACTCGGCGTTGAGCCCGCATACCCCAGAAAGGTGGAGGGAAAAGAGGAGAGGCGGGAGTCGGGTCCTCGAGGCCTGTCGACCACATGAGCGTCAACAGGCAGCTCACGTGGCGAGCCGCGACCTCGGTGTCCTCCGCGAGGACATCGAGCCAGCCCTCGAGGTCGGACGGCAGGAGCCCAGGCGCCTGTGTCGAGCTTTGACCTAGGCCCATTCCCTTGGACCTAGAGTGGTTGGCGTGATGCTCGGTGAGAGCCCGAGCCCCTCGAGAGGTCATGGGCGAGGCGGAGCTTGCACACCTGGAGGTCGGTTGGAGCTATAGTCGCGCTCTTGACTGCTCAGATGAATCAATGTTGATGGCTATTAGCTCCTCCTCTTTGGATACCCTAGTATTGGTCCCCGACACCCACCTACAATTGCTTGCCGCGACCTCGGTGTCGCGAGATCGGATGGGATGTAGATGCACACTGGAGGTCGGTTGGAGCTATAGTCGCGCTCTGACTGTTCGGATGAATCAATGTTGATGGCTATTGCTCCCCTCAACCAACCATTGGTCCCGACATCCACCTACAAATGCTTGCATTTTTTCTCTCGGATGGGAAAACCTGAAAGACAACCAACAAAAACCAAAGCAGTGTTTTCTCAAAAACCAAGACCACACCAAACCCGCCAAAATGAACATGCCCATAGCTAATAGCGGCGTGCTACGTACGTACGTGTACAAGATTGTTCAGCGTCCAATGCATCCATCCATCCGTGTCCAATTGCATG